GTATGTATGTATGTATGTACTTATGCGGCGCTTGCTCTTTGCAACGAGCGTCTGCAAAACAAACTCGCCCCCCCCCCTCCCCCCCCCCTCCCCCCCCCCTCCCCCCCCCCCCCCCCCCCCAGAAAAAAGGAGAAGAAATTGGAGTATTGTTGCTGCTAGAGTCACCGCACTGGCGCTCCTCGTAGTTAATGGGCTGAAACAGCTCGTCAGATCTCCCGAGACTCGTGCCGTTGAGAACTTCCTGAAGTCTCTCCTGAAGCTTGTCTGTCCGTCTTCTTTCCGTCTGGAACTGCCTCTTCAACTCCTTCACCATAGACAATCCTCTCTTGTCCTGCATCTTGCACTCCTCGATGTTGTCCTGTGCTCTTGCTTCAGCTTCTTTGCTTTCTCTCGAAATCGCACTTCTGGTTGTTTGACATCTCCAGACGAATGGTGAGATCCTTTACGGCATCGTCCAGCTGCGTCTTGAGCTTGGTGCAGCCGTCCGAACGTTGCCTTGCTTTGCACTGCTCCAGGTCATCTTTGGACTCCTCAATGGCTTTCTGTAGCATGTCCACGCGTTCCTGCGCCTCACCCTTGCGCTGAAGCACCTCCTCCTTCATAGAGAGCAGCAGACGCTTGTGTAGTGTCAGCGCCGCTTCGTTCTCTGTCACCTTCGTCGCACACTCCTGCTCAACAAGAAGTGCTTCGTTTGACAAGTGTAGCTTCTCCTCAAACTCCTGCCACATTTTCTCTGGGGCCTGCCTGTGTTTCTCCTCTTCCTCCAGCAGGTATGCCCCCAACTACTCTACCAACGCCTTCCCCTTCTCCGCCACCTTGTTTGCCTCGGAAGCAGCAATGGCGCTACGTCGGGAAGCATCTTCTAAACCATGAATGGTGGTGTTCATTGAAGTTATCTTGCCTGCCATTTGCTCGTCCACCCTAAGCAGAGCCTCCCGCTCCTTGTCGGAGTAGTCGATCTGTTGGCACGAGTCTCGCAGCAGCGTCTCCAGCAATGCCTTCTCGCCGAGCGTTACTGGTGAATCGCCCACCAAGCCTCGAGCCTCCGCTTCGCGCACGCCACAAAATTAGTTTCTTCTGTAAATCCAAGAGCTTGCTCAATGCGAGTACCGACGGCTGCTACAGGTTCCAGTGCTGGACACTCGAGAAGCAAATGTTGTAAAGTTTCGTCCGCATCACCACATGCACTGCACAGCACGTCCGTTACGTTGGTGTCATATCTTCTTCTGTACAGACGGGTACGCGAGGCACCACCGCGGGCCTCGGCGAGGAGCCGACTTCCCAACGTATTTCCACACCAGTGGATAGGAGCGATGTCGGTCTTGGTGAAGATTATTACAACGCCCTCTTTATATACAGGGTGCGGCCGTAAAAACTTTCAGATTTGGCACGCCTAGCAAAAATCGAATTTCGAACGTACATACCTGAAATTGGGCACGCGAACGTCGTTTATTCCAAAGTTTTTTGCCTATTTTTTTCAGACGTCAACTCAGGAGTAGCGAATTATTAGAAAGATAACAAAAATGGCAGACGTGCATTTCCTATGGCCTATACCCGCCCGTTCGCCGTCTGCTATCTGGTTCGCAACGCCGCTCCCATGTGGCGCACTGAACGCAAAAACGCGGGAAACGCCGCACGAAAGGCTGGTGTCGGGCGAGATAATCGTGATAAAAAGTGATTTGAACTAAATATATGAACGATTGTTGAAATTACCTGTTTTAAGTTAAGTTTTGACAGATCGTCATGCAAGCAAGAAGGCACCATGATGTGACGAGATCATTTATTTACAGCCTGAAATAGCAAGTGGTGCTGCTGCCGTTGCAGACAAGTTCGTTTTGAGTTATCATTTCATTCTGATTTTTAGAGGGCCGCTGTAACACATAAAGTAATTTTTTTTCATAAAGCTTGGGTATAATTAACACACATGTCGCAAGACGTATTTGTAAAAAAAAAAATCACATTAATTGAAGCAATATTAACGGCGCTGGAGTCATTTCGGTGGGCCGGTGATAAAATGGCTGGTATTTGACAGAGATAATCGTCTTTTTGTTGGTTTCCCATTGGTACCTCTATCAGCAGCCTCTACTTTGCTCTCCGCGTGCGGAAAGCAGCACGAGAGAAAGTAGGAGGGGAACTAATAGTTTAAATTTCGTCAGGAAGTGGAAGTTTTGCGTTCATTCAATTGTTTATTCTTGAAAAATACATCTTCTGATACGCCTCTTCTGTCACGGCGATTTGAAATAATGTTGATGCTGCAGCGGCCCTTTAAACGACTAGGGTTCGGCCGATTCGATGTGCCCGCCTTTTACAGACACGCAAAGCCAAAGTCGAGCTTCGTACGCCAGGAAAGCCGATTCGCGCATCCCATCGTCGATCTCGAGGAACGCGGCCTCAATTTTTTTCTTTCAGCTCTTCGGGGGGGGATCGGTGGCCGAGTGGTCTAGCGCACACCAGCTCGGAGCACGTGGAGCGAAAGCTCGCGCTGCAGAACCCAGGGATCCTGGGTTCGAGCCCCACCCCTGCCCGTTTCGATCTGGATGAGCATCGTACCGGCGTGCGGTCGTGTATCACTACTGCGTGATGCACGTTAAAGACCCCAGGCTAGCGGCTGTACCGCACTGGCTAAATTTCTCATCTACAGCTGGGAGACTCGTCGCCCCTGTGAGGCAGACCAAGTTCTAGGCTGTATAAACACACACACAACCCAATTTTTTTTTTTTTTCAGCTCTTCGATGCTGGGGATCCTTTTCTTGTTGACAAGTTATTTTATAAATCCCCCTACGAAAAAGTCGCACATATTTAAGTCGGGGGATCGTGGAGGCCAGTCCATATAATCTGATCCCCGACCCACCCACCGCCGAGGGAACGTCATATTGAGCCATGCCCTCACGCTCTTTGCGTAATGGGGAGCCGCCCCATCCTGCATGAATATACAGTTTTATTTTGTCATGTGGTACCTTTCAAGCTCAGGGAGAATTCCCGTTTTCAGCACGTCCATGTAGGCATCTGCGTTAACGGTGCCATCGAAAAAAAAAGGCGCCCACTATGCCTTCCCACGCCAAATCCCACTCCACACTGTCACCTTCGGTGAATGGAGATGCCGTTCGTCCACGGCATGAGGGATATCGCGAGCCCATATCCTGCTGTTCTGGCGGTTCACACGTCTATCTAGGTGAAAGTTTGCTTCGTCACTAAATGAAAGAAATTGCAGGTACCCCGGGTTGCTCTTAATTCGCAACAACTCCGTCTTGCAAAATTCTAAACGTCGGACGTTGTCGCCGTCGTGCAGGGCTTGGACAACTTGCATCTTGTAGAAGCGCAAATTATTTTTCCGCAGAATCCGTCGTACGCTTTTTTTCGAAATTCCGAACAACCTGGCTGCTCGTCTTGTTGACAATTGCGGGTCGCTCTCGAAGACAGCAAGCACCGCTTCAATGAGCTCCTCATTTTTCAGCAGGCTCTCACGTTCACTGACTGGATTCTTCTTTTTAAAGTCTCTTCCACTCACAAAACGATCCGCCCAAGTCAAAATAGTTGGGCGTGAAGGCGGGCGTTTATGAAATGCAGTGCGAAATTTTCGTTGTGATGTGGCCACCGAGTTCCGCTCCACGTACCACTTGACTGCTTGGGCACACTCACTTGCCGAGTATCGCGCCATCGCAGGGGGGCGCGGAAAATATTTTGATAATAACTGCAGAAAATAGTGCAACAAAAACAATAAATAGGAACAATCAAGATGCCTCAGCAGCGTCATTCTTGGTTCCAAAGTTGACCTTTCACCGGGAACGGACCCGCCAACAGATAAGCAGACGACAAAGAAAGGAACACGTTCGTCTGCTTTAGAACATATTTTTATTAAACGAGGGCGTCCGCCAGTTTTTAAATTTCAAGTAAAAGGGCATAATCGTTCACATATTTCGGTAAAATCACTTTTTATCGCGATTATCTCGCCCGACGACAGCCTTTCGTGCGGCGTTTTCCACGTATTTGCGTTCAGTGCACCCCCTGGGGGCGGCGCCGCGAACCAGATAGCAGACGGCGAACGGGCGGGTATAGGCCATAGGAAATGCACGTCTGCCATTTTTGTTATCCTTCTAATAATTCGCTACTCCCGAGTTGATGTCTGAAAAAAATAGGCAAAAAACTTTGGAATAAACGACGTTCGTGTGCCCGATTTCAGGTATGTGCGTTTGAAATTCGATTTTTGCTAGGCGTACCAAATGTGAAAGTTTTTACGGCCGCACCCTGTATATATGAAGGGGCGTTGCGTGTGAAGAGCGTTAGGCCTAGCAGCGGTCTTCGCGATAGTGGTCTTTGCGGGACCGCCATGGCCTGCTGACTCCTAAGAGGCCGGTCTCGAGCGCCATGAGAGGGTTCCCTGTGTGCCCAGCTTGCAGGTGAGCCGACCAAATTTCCGGCGTCGCAGGGAATCCAGCACCTATGGGGCTCCAGGGTTGGCGACGATGTTGGCCGGGCGGCGGTCTTCGCGAAAGTGGGCCTTGGAGTCTCCCAGCTCGCGGTGCTAGCTAGTAACCGAGCTGACCGAGCAGCATGAGCGCCTTGTCGATCGAGGACATGGTGTGTGCCACTAGTCCGGCTTACACTCGAATGATGGGAAAACGCGTCATACGCCCCAGCTGGCTTCCTCTTCTTCCTTTTTCCGGTGCCAACTTTCGCCTCCGGGCTTGGAAATTTGGGCGCGTCGGCTGAATATCATGATACGTGTGCATTGCCCTGTTCTCCTCCTTCGTCTGCTAAGGACCAGCGTAAAGCCGCAGTCCCGCTGCTCATACATCACACAAAAGACATCGCTGCAGACAGGATGACAGAAGAATCGACGGACTTTCCTCAAGCAGGTTCAAAGCATGTTATCTCTATCTTCGTGCTTCAAACAAGTCTTCAGACAGTTTTTGCATGACAAATGTGACCGTCATACAAGGGGCCTCAGACAGTCTTCAGGCTGACGGCGGCTTAACAGTCTTGCACCCGCGTGTTCGCAGGAAGCCGTGAAGCGGCGTTTGTGTACGCTGTCAGCTCGGCGGCCGTCACGTACGCGGTGACCCGAGCCTGCACTCGGGGCAACCTGGGCCAGTGCGGCTGCGACCGGAGCAGACAACAACAGCAGCAGCAGCAGCAGCAGACTGCCGAGCCCCGGGCGGAGCCGACCGGTGCTGCGGAGCCCGCTGCTTCGGCCCCGGCGGACGACTCGTGGAAATGGGGCGGCTGCAGCGCCCACGTGAAGCACGGCATGCGCCTGGCCCGCCGCTTCCTCGACGCCAGGGAAGTGGAGGCCGACGAGCGCTCCCTCATGAACCTGCATAACAACCGCGCGGGAAGAAAGGTAGACATTTTTTCCTCTTTGTTTGCTCGTTCTAGGCTGTTTGATGAGCAAGGAACTTAGAAGACCTGTGGGTGTCCGTTCTGTTGCGCTATCCGGTGAATGAGAAGGGGAATGCACATTCTGTATCCACAAGACGGAGAAGGGCGAGAAATGCCCTGGCAGGCACCGCCGATGAGTGGAGGGTTGCTTAATGGCACTCTCTCGATCGAAGCGACAATACCCCCGCTATAAAGAGACGGCGAAGGTTCTGGGACCGAAACGCCCGTGCTTTGCGGAGCCCACAAATGGACGCCCTTCTAACCATCCTCACAGAGTGTTTCTGCTTATGAACCAACGTCACCAGTTCTCGAAGTCGTCTTGTTTTAGAGCGCAGCTCTTAGGCGCCTGTTTCCGGCTTGAGCGGCGTCGCCGTCGCCGTCGGCGTAACCAAGGTCATCCCAAGGTCACGTGACACCCAAGGTCACGTGACCCCTCCCAAGGTCACCCCAAGGTCACGTGACCCCAGGTCACGTGACCCCCGAGGTAACGTGGTCCCCTCCCCAAGGTCACGTAACCCCCCGAGGTCACGTGACCCCTCTCAAGGTCACCTCAAGGTCACGTGACCCCCAAGGTGACCCCCTAGGTCACGCCTCCCCGAGGTCACGTGACCCCCCCTTCCCCGAAGTCACGTAACACCCCCCCCCTTTCCGAGGTCACGTGACCCCCCCGGAGCATATTAAAGAATGAGGGGAGGAAAAGGAGAAGGAGGAGGGGTCTACCCTCCCCTCAGTACCCTTCACTCCTCCTCCTCAAGAGCTGCGCTCCAATTCGGCGTTACGGGGATTTGTAAACGGCTTTCACTTTTTAGAGCGCAGCTCTTAGGGGCCCGTTCCCGGCTTGAGCGGCGTCGGCGTCGCCGTTGGCGTCGCCGTCGGCGTCGCCGTCGCCGTCGGCGTAACCAAGGTGACCCCAAGGTCACGCGACCCCCCAAGGTCATCCCAAGGTCTCGTGGCCCCAAGGTCACGTGACCCCAGAGGTCACGTGACCCCAGAGGTCACGTGACCCCTCCCCCAGGGTCACGTGACACCCAAAGTCACGTAACCCCCAAGGTCACGTGCCCCCCCCCCCGAGGTCACGTGACCACCCCCCAGGGTCACGTGACCCCCTCGCCGAGGTCACGTGACCTCCCCGATGACGTCATCGTCACTGATGACGTCACCGGCATCCACATCGTCATCGTCATCATCACTGATGACGTCATCAGTGACGTCACTGATGACCTCACCGGCATCCGCATCGTCATCGTCATCAGTTACGTCACTGATGACGTCACCGGCATCCGCATCGTCATCGTCATCATCGCGGATTACGTCATCAGTGACGCCACTGATGACGTCATCGACATCCGCATCGTCATCGTCATCATCGCTGATGACGTCATCGGAGTCCGCATCGTCATCGTCACTGAGGACGTCATCAGTGACGTCACTGATGACCTCACCGGCATCCGCATCGTCATCGTCATCATCACTGATGACGTCATCAGTGACGTCACTGATGACGTCATCGGCATCCGCATCGTCATCGTCATCATCACGGATGACGTCATCAGTGACGTGGCTGATGACATCATTGGCATCGTCACGTGACCCGGTCACGTGACCCCCAGGGTCACGTGACCCCCCCCCCAGGTCACTTCACCCCCAGTACCCTTCCCTACTCCTCCTCAAGAGCTGCGCTCTAATTCGGTGTTACAGGGAGTTGTAAACGGCTTTCACTTTTTTAGTACAGGACACGTGGACAATGAAAACATTTTTTATGTGTATCACTAATCTATTTTATAATTGCGTGAAGGACCAGGAAGTAATAACATTTCTACTTAAATATTTAGGTGAGTGCGGCTTTACTAAAAAAGCGCTTTCTAATATAGAAAAAAAAAAGCAGTGGCAACGCAGACTGTATTGTGCGTTGGTTCAAGGTGAGGTTGCACATAGGAAATTGCTAGGCATGCTGTGCCCCAACAGCGCCAAAGTCGTCGTGTATAGCGCCTAATAAAGAAAGCCCTACCAAAGTTTAACTCCAGCGGGAGTGGAGTGCGAAGTTCGGGTGTCTTGCAGTCGCGCACCCCAAGGACCCTGCTAGCTCGCGTCTCCCCGTTCCTCAGAAGCTTGTTTTCTTCCCCCGCCACTTACTGCACTCGAGGTGTGCGAGCGTGGTCGTTCAACACCTAAATAGTGAGTATTTTCTGAGCCACCTTCCGGGGGACGGTGAAGGGGCACGAGGGCTTCCTGGGTCCCGAATCCAGCACGCGAGTTCCAGGCGAAAGGAGCAAACTGCACAGTGCTTTAAGGAAAGCGGTCTGAAGTCTGTCTTTCAACACATTCTGTTCATGCTTGCGCCATTTTGTTTTTCATCATTCGATGAGTGTGACGACATACGCTCTCAGTGGTAACTGCAGAATGTTCACTGGCAGCGAAGAGCGCGAGCCAGGGCGTGCTTCCATCGAGGCTGTATGGATAGCCAAAGCACATATCATAGTACAGGCTCTTCCCTGTGCGTTCGGCATAACTGTGCCAGACGTACGCTTTTTTAGTCAGCAAATTTCGACCGTGATCACTTTCATTTATTTATTTGATACTGCAATCTCTTTGAGGTTTTAACAGGGTGTCACGAGATCGGGGTATAATTTGTTTTCAGTGGTTATTAGTGCGCAGTGGCACCGTTTTGCAATGAGGGTGTCGATGCCCTTGCTACTGAGACACCCGCCATCTCTCTGCGGCGATACAATAAGGCACACCGTTTTATGCGTAAGATAAACGTGACCCCCCCCCCCCCCCCCCCGCCCCCAACCCCTATTACGTCAAACTCCCCAAAGCGAAGTCGTTTTACTACATCGACAGCCGACACACGAAACACGAGCCACCAACCCTAACTGTCAGTATTGCTCGGACCGAGAAGACATCAAACACGTGCTCTTTTCCTGCATAAAAAAGATTAAGTGCAAAAAGTCCCCGTGCACTGATATAGTGCCAACGTGTCTTTTTTCTTTATGATGGTGTTACCATTCTTTAGCCGAGTAGCAACTCGCGCCTCAATGAACACCCTCCTCTCTCCCGGCTATCCCTCTCTTGTCTGAACTGCAGTCTAAAAACACACCGGGAGTATCGTCGGTTTCTGAAGCTCTGTGAAGCCCTCCTCGGAAGACTGTACCGTACCACAAGCTCCGTGAGGAGAGGAACAGTCATCGTCGACTGAACACTAGAAATTTCCTTCGGTGCCTCTCTAAACAAGAAACGGGGCAGCAGACCAACTCTCCCAGACGTCCAGGCCACTGTTTACGGACGCACCCGCCGCAACCGAGATAACTCCCGGAGCCAACCGTCAGCTTGCTCTCCGCGGAAATCGAATCATCCCACACAATCTTGGCCGACGAGCGCTTTCGTACTGGGCGCGCACGCCGAGACATCTTCGATTAGGCGCCACTCTCGCAGCGGCACCCGCGGTTACTCTTCGCACGACAGCGAGCGCGTCGTTGCAGCTACACAGTTGCGTTCTTCACGCCTGGTCACGCCTGAGCAGACCCCGCGCACTGTCCGCGTTGAGGAGGGGGGCTTTTAGAGGGGCCGTTCTCTCGCGAAACAAACTCAGCCGCGCGGTGCCCCCGCGGGCCCGCAAGCAACAAACGATGCCAGGTGAGCGACGCCGACAAAAGACCCGCTGAGGGAGAGACCAGAGCTTTCTTCGGCAGCCGGAACAGAACAAGGCGCAATTTCATGCTTTGTGGGCCTTATTTTTTCTCCCGCGAGCTCGGCTTTCACGGGCGGGCCTGTTGGCAGGGCGGCCCCATTGTGCCGAGACAGCGATCGTCGTTGAGACGGGACGGGTCCGTCTCTCGCCGTCGCCCTGCTGCCGGCCGCGCTGCAGCTCGACGTGCTTTGTGCATCGCCCGTTCCACCAGCACTCATAAAACGCCGATTGCCTCCCCGGCCCGGATGATCGTTGGCAGGAAAGAACCGGAGCCCATTACGCCTCGACGACCTCGCGCTGAGGTCCCTAGCCCCGAATCGCGAACACTCCACCCGGGAATTCTTCGAGTGTCTATGGACCAACTCACGGTTTCGACGTCATGGCAAGATGGTGGCGCTGGCTGTGCATTCTTGCGCGCGCGCAATGCATATCGGCGCCACAGTTTCTCTTCGCAGACGAGTTTATTTAGAAAAAATGAGTTGGTTCGCACTGGCCGCTTCCACGAGTTACATCTGTCCTCCTTCAGTTCGTTCAAGGTTGAGGAATGTTCTCGGTGTCATAATCCAGTACTGGTAGAAATTGAGGGAGAGGAGAGTGCGCGGGAACGTCGGAACATCGAGTTCAGGTTCGAGTGATCAGAGGGTAAGCGCAAAGATAGCTACTTTTATTTTTTTTTTCTACATGCTGTTCGAACACCGAACCTGGGGCGTCCGGCGTTCGAACACACTCGAAGATTCAGTAGAGACACTGGATCTGACGTCTTGGCGCACCCTCATCTCCCTAAGTGTCTACCAGTGTCGTAGGCGTTACCGAAAAAAAGTAACGAAATGCGTTGCTCTTTACTCGAAAAATAAAGGAACGCGTTACCACACTCTAAGAAGTGCCTGCCCGTCTACTTACCCGCAAAACACTCAAAGAGCCAATCATCGCGATCTAGGAAATCAGCTCAGCGAATAATGAGGTGGAACATACGTTTAGACCTAAAATGAAGACTGCGCTGTGGCATTACGCAATGCAAAGCGTCATGCTTGCATTGCGTAATGCTACAGCGCAGACTTAATTTTAATGCCTATGTAGAGATTCCGCCTCATCATTTGCTGAGCTGATTTCCTAGATCGCAATGATTGGCTCTTTGATAGTTTTGCGGGTAAGTAGACGCGCAGGCGTTTTTTAGAGTGCAACCTACGTTACCTTAACGTAAAAGGAATGCGTTACCGTTACCGAGAAGAAGTTAGCGCACGTTACTTATTATTTATAATTTGACAGTAACGGCG